TAATTGTTTCTACTGTTTTCTGAGGATAATTGTTATTTTTATTATTAGAAGCATTAGAGAATTATTGAATGCTTTATTTTCTTCATAAGAAAGATTTAAAAAGCTTTTGATAGTTTTGACCAAAACAAACTAGCAAACAAACAAACAAACAATAGGAGAAAGAGAGCTCTTGAGGTCAGGTTACTTGGAGAAAAGATTGAAGAAATTAGAATGAGATGATATTGGAAACATTTACCATTTCTCATCTCAGGCTCTTAGAGTTCTTGCATGCTCTTGAATCAGTCATTGACTTATCAGTAGATAAGCTTGTGACATTTTACAAGAAAGAAATGAGACAACAGCAGGCAACAACTGGAAATGATTCATTGTTATATTTTTAAAATTTATTTTTCCTACAATCTCATATTTTTAATGTTCCAACAAATACTTGAAAAATGGTATTTAACAATTATTTTAAATCTGGTCTCCATTTTGTTATCCATGATTAGTTATTTTAGTCATTCATGGAAACTAACTAAATGAGCTAAATAAATATTCCCATCTGCTTTATGAAAATCACATTAAAATTGTTATCAGAACATGACTATCTATTATTGAATTATGCACTAACACAAAGTTAAATTACATGTATTTGTTTTCAGGATAAGCTGGGGAGAATTTGAGCATTTAGTAAAATGGTTTGAGAGAATGTCTTTTTCTGTGAATGTATGAACAAATATTCTAATAATAATTTGATTTGATGTAGAAAATAATAAAATTTATTTTCAAATATTATACTCCTCCACCTCAAAACTATCACTACTGAACATGAATGCCATGTGAAATTCACATACTTCTTGAACAGGAGTGCATTTACTCAACACATATTGGTTAAACCCTTTCTTTGTGTTAAACATTGCTGTTAACACTGAAGATACAAGTGTGTAAAACAAACAATCTGATATTTTTGTGCTTATATACTAAGAGTAGGCCAAATAATGAACTAAATGAAGAAAGAAAAATAAATAGTAGTTTAGTTGGCAATAAGTCTAGTTAAGAAATAAAACAAGGAAACATAATAAAAAAATGTTGGCTAGCTTTGCTCTCTTAGTAGTCAGGAAAAGCCTCCAGGAAATGTTAACAGTTAAGACCTAAAGAAAAGAATTGACTAGTTTTGAGGAGTGAATGATATTATCTGCCAGGATTTAACAGACTAGTTCTTGTTATTATGTAGCGGATATATTGAAAGTGATAAAGACACAAGTAGGGGGAAGATTCAGAAGCACTACAAGTAGAAGGGGTGATATATTTTGAAGCTATTGACAAGAAGATGGATTGTATGTGGGGTATGAGATTAAAAGACAAGTCATGGTTTCTCCAAGTGTTTGGCCTGAACTATTTGAAGGATGTAGTCGTCACTTATTGGCTTAAGTAGCTCTCTGGAAGATGTTTGGGAGAAGACCAAATGGTCAGTTTCAGAGATATTAAGTTTGATATGCCTGGTAAACATCCAGATAGTTCAATAGATTCAATCGATATATAGATATGTAGATTTACAGTCAAAGCAAAATAATAGGTGACAATATATAAGACCACTAGGAAGATTTTTTTAAATTATGAAACTCAATAAAGTAAATTATTGTAGAGGAGGAGAAGTTGTGATGACTCAGTTATTGAAAATCCATTCCTAATAAGTCAGATGAAGAATCAGCAATAAGGAAAGGGAAAAGCCAATGAAGTTGGTTAAAAAACATATATATTCTCCTGGAACTCAAATAACAAATGCTAGTTAAGGAGGAGGTGATTAACAGTGGAAAATGTTGTTGATATACACAGTAAGATAAGACGTGAGAATAGACCTCCGCATTTAGTAAAGTATTTGCCATGCTTCACTGGTGACCTCAGTAAGTTCAGAATCTGGGAACTGATAGAAGCGAGTGCCCAAATAAATTGGGACTAGGATACAGTGAGAAAAGGCTAATGAAAGCTGACAATATGAATACCTGAGGAAAGTAATGAGAGAAATGGGCAAAAACTACAGAAAACAGCAGAGGTAAGAGAAAGTTTTTTTTTGTTTGGCGTGTGTGTGTGTGTGTGTGTGTAATTAAGTAAAAGAACATGAAATATATTTTCTTTCATCCGAGGACTTTTCTGAAAATTTTTATCTCATGCATATTGTGAGTCTATACTTTGTCCATTTTAAAGTTTGAGTAATAAACCTAAAACAAAGTTTCTGTTAGAGCATATATTACTAAGATAATATATCTCATTTAAGATATTTGAAAAATATTATATCTATCCTAAGCATTATAACAAATCATGTCAAAGAATAATTAAATATTAAGAAGTCAAATTTAAATTCTGAGCCAGTTATCAAAAGGCTCAGAATTTATTATTTTTATATTTTTATGTATATTACTTTCTCCAAATGATTATTAAAAATAAGATGATAATAATAATTTTGTCCATATTATGGTCAAGGCACTATTCTAAGCATGTTACATGTATTATCCTTACTCTAAGTTTCCAAAGTGAAATTTATTAACTTTATTGATATGATTTTATTAACCCATATTCTAAATAAGGGTCTTTGGCATCAGCAATTCAGTGACTTTCTTAATCCTTGATAGATACAAATGATGTAACAGGGATTGAGTCCAGATATGCTTAATTCCAAAGTACATGATATGTGATTTGTACCACTTTACTGCATAGTAAGTATTGAAAGACAGGCACTAAGTTATAAGCGACATGTCTTTTGTACACTGGGTAGAGCCAGGTACAATGAAGCGTACTTAATATGATCTTACTATAAAGTTGTTAATTTGTCTAAGAAAAATAACATCAGGAATAATAATAAAAATGTAAACATAAACCAGTCTTTTTTATGTTTACAAATTCAAAATGTTAGAAATCACTAAGCAAAAACAAAAAATTAACCTAGAAAACTTTTTTCTCTCAAGTGTCTCACCACTATTATGAAACAGTTTATCAATTTACAAACTAAAACAAGACACAACAAGATCCAGTTCTACTCAGCCGTCAAAGATTTGAATGCAACTAATTGCACATTATATAGGGCTGATTGTGCAATAAAGGATTAGGAACAATCCAGTGTTAATCCTCTAGTTAGCCTGCTAAGTTTCTACAAAGATATGCCACTTGATATGCAAATGTCAGGACTATCATAGTTCGAACATTAGATTCCGATGCAAAATTGCAAAATTCTCATCTCTAAATAATGAATATTTAAATTTCATTTCTTCTAAATGTTTACTTTTTTTCACAATTTAATTAACACCTAAAAATGTAAAAATCCCTGTGTTACCTTCAAATAAAATATCAGTAAGAAAAAATTTAAGTGTATGAGGCAAATAATTAGGAACTCATTGGCGTGTGTGTTTGTGTGTGTGTGTAATTAAGTAAAAGAACATTTAAACATCATTAGTTTTTCATTACTTTAAGGTGGATTGCCTGTCAGGGTCTATACACATGTCAGAAAGGACACAATAACTAGTGTCATTTTAGAATTGTAGTCCTTGGAAATCCTTGACTTATTTGATTTTCATTCCATTTGTTGCACTGTGTCCTTGGATTTAACTGTGTTTTTCTTGTAAGATTTGTGTTTTTCGTAATGGAATATTGTAAACATTAGCAACGTCTGAAGGTTAATTTTATTTTTTTATTTTTCTTATGATATTTAAATATTAAATACTTAATATGATATGTAAATATTAAATATTTTGTATGATATTTAAAAATCCCAAAACTTCACTTTGATACAAAAAGAAAAGTAAATTATACAAGTCTTGAAACTAATATATCAAAATTCTATTTTGTGTGATATATATTCATCGCTTATATATGGCCTCAGTAGAACTATAGAAAAAGCATATGATTTAAAACTGTACAGAAATGGTTTTAGATCTTTTAAGTTCCATTAACGACCTGTATGGACTTATAAAAGGTCTTAATATTTCTTTTCCATCTATGAATTAGAGTTAATATAACTCAATTTATAAGCTGCTCATAGTGTTATAATTACTGAATAAGAAATTATATATTGTGTATTTGTCAATTATTAAGGAAAGGACTAAACAGTTTCTTTTTTCCTTTCTTCTAAAGACCTAGATAAACATGGAAAAATGGAATACGTGATTGCATTTTATTTTTAGAACACAGCAACAAAAACGTATTCAACATTTGTGTAAAACAAGATCAAGCTCTATTTTATTACCTGTACAAATACGTCTTTCTCATAATAAGTTAAATTAATAGTACTTTTCAAATTTATTAAAAACTAAAAATGCTTGGAATACTATTTATGCATATGTTTTTCTAAAATATAAACATATATTTATAATTTAGTTTTCTAACCTAAGAAGAGTATATTTTCTCCTTCCTTAGTGCAACATCTGTGAATGTGGATTTAGATGAGTAACATTTCAAAACATTATTTTCAAAAACTTAAATACTGTTTTTGAAGCAAGTAAACTTTCACAAAAAGTTAGGTAGTCACTTTTTTAGAAAAGTAATAAAATCAATTCAAATTAATGCTTAAATGATGAAATTTTTCAGACATATTACATGGTATTTCTAACAACTACTGTGGCTTTTGCGTACTATTTTCTATAGACACTAATTAAACTCTAAGATAATTTGTATATACAATGAAGTACACGAAGACAAAAATCTGGAGACATTTTCCGTGTAAGAAAATAGGTTGAGCATTTGTAATTTTACCTGTGGACAATGGTCAATGACAGCATAAAATTCACAGACCAATGACAGAACCTCATTATTATCTACCATTCAGTTAATTTAAATTGAGTATGAGAGATGCATTGAACATCTTCTATTAAAACAATGCATAAAGTATGCATGCTCTTCACCACAAAATTAAGGTAAAAGTCAGAAATGTATTTTAGAACAGTTGTGTTAGAATTTAATCAAGCAATCAATAATATTTGAGGCAGAGAAGAAACACTTAAATAAACAAATAAATAAAAAAATAAACTCACCTTATCCAGAATACATATCTGTTTCCTTGTTTGAGCATCAAGTATTTCAATCTCAAAGTGAGTTGTTTTTGAATGTTTGACTGCTGGCGTTGGTTTTAGAGGGCCCGCTGAGAGTACAAGTTTTGACAAAAAGTGAAAATTTCTCATATCATCCCTCAGTATGAACCGTGTAGCTCTTTGGGAAAATAATCCTCTCTTGCGTTCTGAAGCGAGGGACTTCTGCCTTTTGAACATTGTGTGACCTAACAGGAGGGTCTGTCATGTCAAAAGTAGACGATTGCGAGTGTGCTCCTTTTGCGCCAGTTAAATACTGCTGGAGAACCTTCGAAAGGTCAAATGGTATGCCATTCCAAGAGTTCAGTTTTATTTAGCAGGCTTGAAAACAATGACTGATCTTATTTCTATATATAACACGCTATTGTGATTTGCTGTGTAGCGTATTACTTTACCAGCAATTGAATTATTTCTTGCTTTCTCCTTTTATCTCTGCTTTGTAATATGACTACTCTTATCTGAAATTCCAAAGCAAGAATAGACAGAGCATTTTCATTATCTCTGAGTTCTGGATGCACTAATCTTCAAACACACACACAGATTTACATTGAGATGTATTTAACATTAGCAAAGTGCTCTCTTAAAGTTAAATTTTTAAAAGTCCTAGTACATTACTACATAACATTTAAAAAATGCTAAGGACAAGAGAAGTGGCATATATATGTTTATATATGTTTTATATATAAATATGTTATATGTGCATGTGCATTTAAAGCATTCTAAAATGAAAAAATATTTTTATCAGTACTAATTATAATCCCAACTAACTTAAAATAACTTACACAATATAAAATGATGAATTCTTCACTTCATATAAAGATTGGAAAGATAGCAAACTATGAGATTAGAATTTGTAGAGAAACTTTTTGTAACCTGGGGAAAAAGAAGCAAGCATTATTTCAACATTGTGTATCTTTGGAAATCTATTGAACTAATATACAAAATCTATAGTAAGTACCACATTTTCCACAACCCTGTGTTATGGAAAATACCGATAGCCTCAGAATGAAAAATGAAATCTGAAAAACATCCTGACAAAAGAGCTTTTAGAAAATCTCCTAGTCCTCTGAGATATGTAAATCTGATGAAGAAACAAATGAAAAGAAATCCAAAATATTTTATCACTGATTCAAAATGATTTTAAAGGAAAATATTCTTAAATGTAATTTTCAATGAAAACATAAAAATAAAATGACACAAAATATATAGAGGAGGAAACCTGTTATCTACCTAAGGCTAATCTTTACTTTTAAAAACAACTAAAATAATGTATTCATTTATAATTGTATTACACATTATGCCCTAGAGATTCA